TGTGTGTGTGTGTGTGTGTGTGTGTGTGTGTGTGTGTGTGTGTGTGTCTCAGAGAGTGTTACGTGTGTAAATAACAACAGATACCTGGAAAAATAACAAACATCCAACACAACTTTCATATGCACACGCATACTTACTCAATATTTAAACATTTAACAAAAGTGAATCAGCTTAACGAGTTTTTATACGTTTAATACGTTAATATAACGTGCGTGTAAGTGTGTTCGTGCCATGTTGTCGAGTTAATGTTATTGCTCAGCGAGCAAGCTTCTTGTTGCCAACTGTTTGGAAATGAATACAATTTCGGGAATCAATCAGTAGCAAGTAAATGAATTTATTTCTTTTTCATATCTGCGTCAACATTATTTTGTCAATAAAGTGTATAATCTTAAATTTGTCATATAATCTTATGGACGGACTGTTTAAAAATACTTTTCATTAATGTATGAACATTTATGATTCCAATGGTTGATAGATTCGAAGCATTTTAGACTCCTCAAATATCTGTATGGCCTTGCTGGCGTTGCTGATATTTTCGAATGTCTTCACCAACGCTGTATGCACTTGCTTCGCGGGTACCAATCTCATTCAATTGCTTGTACCGTTCTCGCCGTGCTTCCGCCATATACAAAATCCCACTGGGCAATAAGATACAAACGCCGACACAAGCACAAGCATATGCCCATCCCATATCATTGTGCTCCCAATGAGGCATCCAATCTCTACCATCACCTCTTGCACCAAATGTGATGACAGCAATCAAACCAAATATAGCTGAAATATGAGATTATATTCATTAGATCTATTCTTGATGAAAATAAACCATTTGTTGTACTTTCAATACTGAAAAAGTATTGTTATTACCTCCAGCCACTTGGGAGGCTCCATTACTGAGTAAAACTACCATATAACGGTCGTCTTCACGAGAAAAGGCAAATATTCCCAGCGTTAGTATTACGGATACTAGCAGCAATGTAAATGTTAGAGTAAAGAAGAACTCAACAGCGATGTAAAATCCAGGCAAAAGGAAATCGTGTATTATATAGTATTCCTCTTCGAATACCCACATACACCCCTCAAAACGGTAATCATAAAATCGGTGGATGTCCGTAAAATTCTTGAAACACACAGTCCAAAGCCCTATTTAAAATAATATTTAAGAAAATTTCATGGAAACATTTTGGAAATCAACATATGAATTGACTCTTATGTTGGATTTGTTTACTTGATCAACATGATACATAGGCCCCACCTTTTTTGCCTATTGAGCATTTTTTTTCATAATGAATACATTGTAGATCAAGTATTATCACTTACCAAGATTCAAAAACTTCGGATTCTTCAGTTTTCCGTCAAAAACAAGCCAATAGGGTGAAACAAACGCTATAAAAATTAAAACAAGCGCAATTAATGTGAAGCTTAAAGCAACACGAAGGTTTTTGTTATGTGCACCCATCTTGTTGTTTGAAATGAATGAAACACACTAAATTGCATTCGAATCATTCACTTCTTTCTTGACTTTTGTATTGAGTGACTAATATCCAAAGTATGGATGTGTGGCTCTCTATTAGTATATGTAAGTTTTTGTTTGGTTCTGTAGGTTGGTAGTATGAAATGATACAAAACTAATTACAATTATTTCAAATTCAAATTGTTTTAATGTTTCCACAATTATCATCAATAAATGAATAATAATGAAAAGAAAATTATTTACAGCATTTTTTGAACCTACCGACATGCTTATCGCCTCAAAGCCCTTCGAGTTACCCAAGCATCTGATATCCCAGATTAAATTCATTTCCCCAAATATTCACGAGCTAAATACCATTGCCACTCATCTTGGATGTGGTGAAAGCTCACTGAAAATTGATAAGACCGATGAAGAAAAATTGTTCAAAGGAAACACCAGTTTTATGGAACATACAAAAAAATGTTGTGATGAAGTTTCACGATACATCGATAACGTCATAGTCACGCTTGGTGCAAACGGTGTTCTAGTTACAAACAAGAATACATCTAAACATAAGTTTTTTGATGCATCCCTCAGATATAACAAACCAATCAACGAAAACTTACCAGTACAGCATAGAATGTATAATGTAGAAAATGATATTGTCAATGTTTCGGGAGCTGGTGACAGTTTCACTGTTGGATTTATTACGGCAATGATCAATAGGTAAGAAATTAATAGAGATGATATTGGAATAATATTTCATAACGATATCAAATTGTTCGCTTATAGTTGCCGTGAAGACATATGTATTTCGGTTGGAATGGAAAGCGCAAAGGCCGCCTTAAAATCAGAAAGTCCTGTTCCAAATAACTATTTCCATAGTGATCATGAATGTTGGCGTCAACCAGCTTCACATAAATTACTTTAAGAAAGAAACCAGTTTGTTGTTCTTTATTCTTTGCAGTTACACATTTTATTTTAACTTCAAAATACCCAGAAGTGTACAAGTCCTTGAAAAGTGTTTCAAGGCCTTGGAATGATCCTTCAACCCTTTTTGTAATGATTTTTTATAAATTTGTTCGAAAACAACATCAGTTTATTTCATATTTTATTTCGACTTGACTTTTGGACCCAATACCTTTTTGCGCAGCGCAAACATATGCAAGTATAGTTGTGGGAATAGTGGGATGTAGAGGAGCATTACGATCCATAGGAAATAAAGGTAGGAGAATGTGAAATTAGATGTATTTGGCACCTCAATACTCCAGATTTTATGTTTTTGTGCATAGCTTTGCGCCCAGTATAAACACCAGAGTTCGCCAGTCACTCCAGTCGGGTACAGAACGATGAATGTTGTGTATCTAAACAGAACCGTGTAAACAAAATTGAATGGTAAGTTTTTATTATCAAAAGAAGATAAAGAATAATTTACAATACCTTAAGAATGTCAAAAAGCCTGGAACGATGTTTAGTAAATTGAACCCATAGAATCCATAGCGTATTATTTCAGTGACTGACCATGCAAAGAGGGCCAGAGGAAGTCCTGGTGAAAAAATCGCGTTCGGGGTAGCAAGCAAAACACCACATACTAGCATTACACGTGAGAAAACTTGGAACGTGGTCAAAACAACATTACTAGGTACAATGCCAGTGGCTGCATGCACAATCTGAAGAAACATATTTACACATATATTCAATGTACAATTTATGTTTAAAACTGTTTTTTCTTATCTTACTTCGAGTACGGCTGCATTCTGAAAAATTACTACTGTTGCCCCAATATAGTCCCATAGTGCAGTCGTCTTTCGTAAATCAGTTAAATAATAATTGAGTAATTGATATAACATATAGGACCATCTAAAATTTGATAAAAATATTAATATGTCATTTGTCAACACAGAAGATACTATTACTCTTACCCCAAAACTTGGCCAAAATTGTATGCCAATAAATATGTTTTAGTAATTATTGATTGCTCTCTTGGCTTTTTGCCAGGCTGAGGTTTCACTGTTTTTTCAGACATATTATTTCACCGATTTCTCTGATATTACCTCTCAAACTCGTCAAATTTCTTTCAATGTTGAATACCAATTGAGTTGATAATTATGATAATATAGTTCAAAGTATCAGACTAATTTTATTCTAGTTCGGTTGCCACGATGGTAACATGCAAAACAAATTAAGCCTTTGATTGAAAGTGTTAAAAATCAAACGTCATCGAACTTTCTACATTTAATGGTCATTTATAGCATTTACAACTAACACAGGTAAATTACAAAAGACGGCCTAACGAGTCGCAGTAACATTCTTCTTATGTCAAGTACAATTTGACAGAATATGACGTTTATTAACGTCAAACTATTCAAATCTATGTTTAGCGCCAAAAAAATATCCATCATTTTTTAATGTTTAGTAGAGAATGAGAAAATATTTTAGTTCAAAATGAATCTAAGTGATAAAAATACTAGAAGAACATGACGTATGCGTAAAGTCAACTTACAAGCAATTTAGAAAGAGTGTACACGGAATTTAAAAGGGACAGAGAGAGTATGTATGGGAATAATTCTCGACTCGTTGAAAAAAAAATCGGTTTTTTGTAAGGTAGTTTCTGGTTACACATTATTTGGATATTAAACCTTTAACCGTCTGCCATACACGGACTATGGCGCTGAAACCGTATTTCCGTCTGGCGGGGCGTATAGCAGCCGTAGTACGTTTTGTATGAAAACTGGAAAAGAGATACCGATATGATATCTTCAGAAAAGTGGTAGTACTTCAACCGCTCTACAACTTCACTGAAGACACCAAGTCTTTATCTCCTATCAGCAGAGCATAAAATCTGCTGGCTATGCAGCGCTGCTGTTGAACAGTAGCTGCCAGTTATCTTTTATATTTCTCTCTTATCAGTATGAAAATACACTCGTGTGTAGCTAAAGGTTCAATCTATCGAATGATTGTATAATGTATACTCATCATAAGTAACTCATGGTAACTATTTCTGTTTTTAGTACTTTTATTTATATTTGAATTTTGCGTCGGGCGTGCATACACGGACTAAAGGTTAGGAATATTTTCTTAACAGTGAATGCGAGATATCTGAAGATTATTAATTCAAACTCTCATCATCCATTGGAACATTTCAATTTTGTGACTTACATCTCAAATAAAGAACTGTGTCCCATTTTGGGCCATATGGCGTCCAGCAATGAGACCGATGCCGATGGATAGGGCGCAGCGAGTGTAACAATAATATATGCGTTTCACGGTCCTAAGTTGTGGGCGGGGGGTTTTATGGGGATATAAAGATACTACTGGATTTGGGGCAATTTTCGCTAAACATGCACTTTTAATGAATAAAGAGTCAATTTAGAAGGAAATTATGTATGGACGAAGTATTTATGCTGATGTCAGGAACCGATTGTCACATTGATTGGGGCTGCCCTTCAAGTCTGGGGTGCATGGGAGGTAAAAAATTGTAAAAACTGTTAAATACCCCAATATGGGGTGAAGTTCAATTTACTCCCCAAAACTAATCATATATTTGGATTGACCACAAAAGTTGGCTATATGTTCTATACAACAGAAACCTGATCCGATTACTCCAAAGACTGTAAATCGCTCTCCAAAGATAAGGCTAAACATCGGAGTTGCAATAATATAGGACCTATCTTTGAAGAGCGATTTACAGTCTTTGGAGTGATCGGATCAGGTTTCTGTTGTATAGAACATATAACCAACTTTTGGCGGGCAATCCAAATATGTGATTGGTTTTGGGGAGTAAATTGAATTTCACCCCCATATTAGGATATTTAACGGTTTTTCCAATTTTTTACCTCCCATGCACTCCAGACTTGAAGGGCAGCCCCAACCAAAGTGACAATCGATTTTTGACATCAGCATAAATACTTCGTCCCTACGTTTCCTTCTAAAATGACTCTTTATTCATTAAAAGTGCATGTTTAGCGAAAATTGCCGCAAATCCAGTACTAAATTTATACCCCCATAAAACTCCCCGCCCACAACTTGGGACCGTGAAACGCATATATTATTGTTACACTTGCTGCGCCCAATCCATCGGCACCGGTCTCATTGCTGGACGCCATATGGCCCAACTCCCATACAAATCGGGACACGGTTCTTTGGTATTGTCCTCAGCCATCTCGCATCCACTGTTCAATTATTTGTGACCAAAATGCATTGCCTATTTTTGATTCAAAAGAAAACAATATCGCTTTTTGTTTGGTATAAATATTTCGGTCGATTGAAAAGTCTTTATTAACATAAATAAATGATTTATATCACGCAAATTATTGTTAAATTTGAAGTTTCGAAAAATTATTGAAACTTAAGTACTACCTACTCATACAATGGTTCGGAATCTAGTTAACGTCCTTATTTCGTCTACAGGGCGGATTGTCTAAACTTCGTACAAACATGTTTCCAGCGTGTTCGATTTGAGTAATGAGAAAAAGTGGCCGAAATAAAGTTGTGGTAATCGTCGTTTTCTCGAGAATTGGCGTCATTCAGATATCAATTGCATATTGGAATCGCTAAGTCGGCGGAGCAATTTTAAAGTTTTTCAAAGCAGAGGATTTATGTATATTATAAACGATATCATCTAACTAGCTTCCACAAAAGTACGTTAAAAGCATTTTTTCTAAGGTAAAATTGAGTGATGCGAATACACTATTTGGTTAGACCAAAAGTCTTGAACGCGCAGAGAAAATATTTGTACGGAGTGCTTAACATAAATATGGTCAGACTCTGGGTCAGAGCAGGAATTCAAATCAATCGTTCTTGTGGTGGCACTTTTAGAACATTGTCCATTTCTAAACGAGGGTTAGTATACTCCTGAGCACTCGGTGAATACGTTCCCCTTGTTGCTCTTTTATTACGCGCCATCATCAAAAATGCAACCAAAAATATACCACCTATTATGAGAATGCCTACTAAAATTGGAATAACAACAATGGCCACGTCGGTTGGTGTAATTCCAGTTTCTTTCTCTGAAACCGCCTATAGAATATATCAGAGAAGGTCATGATTTAAAAACAAGTTATATGATTTGACATAATTTATTACAAAAAACAAACAAAATACTCACCACTTCCGTGCAATTTTTGCCAGTGTATTCGTCTGTACAGTTACAATAGAAGTCCGCTACATCCGTACATTTTTCTATACAAGTGCCTCCGTTATGGCAGGGGTTACCATGAACGCATGGATCTTCAATGGAACATGCATTACCACAGAAGCCAAATTCATTACATTTGCAACTAGAAATTAATTTTAAGAATCAATCAAAAAATGTCATAAAATGTAACAAAAGAAAACTTTAAGCTCAACCGTAAAGGCTGTTCTTGCAGTCATAAAAATGTATCCGTTATAAAAGCTTACTTGTAAGATCCACGTGTGTTGATGCAATAGCCGCGACCTCCACAATCAATATTATCTACTTGACATTCATCAATGTCAGTTTCACCTGAAAATGTTGAAAAATATTACGTTACATACTGTTTATTATCGCAAACATGAGTTTCAACTTACAGTTGACGCCTTCAAATCCAGTTCCTGAACATCGGCACTGATACCTTCCGATCAAATCGACACACTCTCCATTGTTTTGGCATGGCGAGCTATCGCATTCGTTCAGGTCTGTCTCACCTGATAGAAAAAATCGATATCACAATATAAAATGTAGCCAATTTGTACATAAAATTTATTCTGGGAATAGAAACTTACAGTAAATGCCTGTATAGCCCAAGCTGCATGTACAAACAGGTGAAATACCTGTTGTCAAACAGAAACCTCCATTTCTGCAACCTGGTTCGACTGCACAGAATGGAATATCGCACAAAGCACCCTATAACACAAGGAAATTATAAATTAGATACATTTTGTAACATATTTTTCCTCCTTTGTGTATCTCTCTTTAGACAATTTTAACGAAAGACTCATTCTACAATAAATACTACAGAAACGTACTTGATATCCCGGACGGCAAACACATGTAAAGTTATTGCCTGTTGTTGAATCTGAAAAAAAGGAAATCCAGAATGAGTTAATAAATATTATACAACACATTCGTATTCTATTCGTAAACGCATTTCGAAAGCATTCCTTCTCGAACTTAGTGGGTTTATGAAACTTCTTGAGGAAGAAAGCATTGTTCTCAAAATACGTACGTACGAGTAAGACTAAATTCAAAAATGATTTTGTTCATTATTCGATATGTTAAAATGTTTCATCTTTAACTTACTGAAGCCATCTTTGCACAAAGATCCCGCGCGGCATGGTTTGTTCTCGCATGTGATTTGCCGTAATATATCGCAGTGTGGCCCATCATATTCTTCTGTACATGTACAAGTGTAAGATGCGAGTAGATCAGTGCAGTTCCCTCCGTTATGGCAGGGTGCACTTGCACATTCGTCGATTTCTAGAATTATCAATGATATTTATACATAAGCAACGATATAATAAAACACTAGGGGCCTCACGCCAATTTCCATATTTAAAATATGAACAAATAATATGAATTTGTTTACGTTTCAACATATTAAACAGATATGTATGCATAATTTCAATTTTGCTCGATTTTGTTCAATAAACCGACTGTCAACAGAACCACGTCTAATCTGTTGACGTCATTATCGCTTCAAAAATTCTGGAAGTGGGTTATGGTGGATCCTCAGGATTGTTAAAAACCGATCCTGGTTCTGGAAGTTGATCCTCAGGATGGACCAGGGCATTGTCAAACCCAGTCTGATCTATCCTTAAGATCCACCAAGACCCACTTCCAGAACATATTGTTCAAGGTGAATATGAACAATAACAATGCATTCGGGCAATAATACAAAATATTTGAAATCTAGGGTGAATTTTACATGATTTAAATAATACAAATAGATTTTGCTAAATAAAATTTGGCGTGAAGCCCCTAGATAAAATAATAATAAGCAAGAAAATATGCAATAAACTTCGTTGATGAATGTTGCTGCACTTCAAATAATGATTGAAGTGTTGGGAAAGACTAACTTCCTTGACATTGTAGTACGTACCTGTTCCACAATTTTGCCCTTCGAAACCAGCCAAGCATTTACACGTGTAGTTTGCCACCAGATCGATACATGTTGAATTATTCAAACAGACCGCAGATAGACATTCGTCCGTGTTTTCGGAACAGTCATCTTGTTCGTAGCCAGCTGGACAAGTGCATGCATACTCTTCAGTGGGATTTGCGCAAATTCCACCATTTTGCTATTTTTGTAAATTTGAAACGCGTTAAAATTGTTATTATCATTTGAGCATATTTAAAGTAGTAGCTATATGCATAATAGTGGTAAGTTAATAGAAAGATAGGGCAAAATCACAATACATACACAATCGTGTTGGAAGCATAAAACACAGCCCTCTTTTGGCTTTGTTGAATTCAGTCGAAACTGTGAGCGTGGTTTGATCTTTTCAAAAAGTATTTCCGTATGTGGAAAGAATGGCAAGAGAAATCCGCCAATTCGAACTTCGCCAACGCATCCTTTGAATGCGGCTCCATTATCATCTCCAATCAATTTGGAATCGACTGCCGGCTCCAGCCCACCTAAATATATTAAATTCTCCCCTAGAAGCAAATTGTTCACATGATTTGATTAGAATAAGGCAAATGAGTTTTTTTTTCAGCGATAAAAAATAAGATTCGGGAACTTTGAAATACGATTACGAACCAGAAAATAAGTCTATGAACTCTTCTTGATTAATTTCTGCTGTTGCCGACTGTTGTACACCAGTATCATATGCTTCTTCATATCCTTTGAAGTTTGCCTTTAGTAAATTATCTTGAACATTAATAATGAGCGTTTGCCAATCATAGCTTAAATTGTCTTGAGCAAATCTTTTGATTTCTGGTAAGTCGCCAGTCAAATTCCATGACAAGGTCACTTGATTCTTAAAAACTGCTATTTGAAAATATTTCTTTTGATTTTGCACATAGAGAAGTGTTCCGCCTGTTTTAGTTCTAAATGAAATTTCGATTGAACCTTTCATAGGTTTGGCAGACGTGTCGTCTCTTTGATGATATGTAAATGCCAGAGGTTTTACATCGTCTCCTTGGAATGTAACATTAGTAATGCATTCAAAGCCGTCGTCCAAATTTTGACATACACCACTACCAGGACAAGTGGTTAACTCACAGAATTGTGTGTCCTGGCAAAAACGACCAAAATAGCCGCGCGGACAAATGCAAATAAAGTCGTTCCATGTATTTTTGCATACCGCCCCATGCAAACAAGGCGAATGGCGACACAAATCGTCTGAAACTTCCCCAGGTAAAATGGAAGTTTCGTCAAAAACAGCGAAACCGAGTCGTTTCGGTAGTCTTAGGCTCTTATCTTGAAGTGGAAATATTTCAACAATCATCGATTGGGATCCGTTCGAAATCTGAACGTCCTGTATGATTCCTTTGAAGTAATCTTTGTCTGAGTTATCCCTTGATGGTAAATCATTTTCGGTGGTACTATCATCATTTGAGTGATAGGCATTTGGTGGGCCACCGAGATACAAATTCTCTGCATCTAATGGACCTACCGACGACAATGTTTTACGGAAATATTCAGTGCCGTTAATTTTCACTTGAACCAAAGTTTGATTGCGTATCACTTGCAATAGATGTATGTATCCGTTATCCAGCCGATTACCCCCAACCGGTTGCTCTTCCAAACTGCCATTTATTTGGAATTTAACTAGTAATTCACCACCGTTCAATTTAGCCGAAATGAACGAAACATTACTGCCACTGCTGGCTTTTCTCTTATCACTGCCCACGTAGAATACATGTCCGGTGGGTTGGCGTGTGCGCACAAACATTGAAATATCGATCACACTTCGCAACATCCGGCGAGCGGTTTCAGTCACATTCACGAAAACCACTGAATGAGTTGTGTTTTCATTTCCGAATGTAGCCGCTGTAATGTTATATTGACATTTATCGCCCAAATGGGGTCGTCGACAGCTGCATTTGAATATAGACCACTCATCGATGCACTCCCCATTCTCACCACACGGATTGGGATCACATTGCGGTTTTCTTAGACAGCCTATAATATAATATATAATTTATTATTATGAAAAATTACCTATTATGTTATGAAAAATATATCGTCCAAAGATTATACATTACCGGGTTCTATGTTCTCTAGTGTCTGATTTTCAATTTTGTCGAGTGGAAAGATCCATTGACCATTGATATTTATATCCTGCATACAACCAACAAAGCTTGATGCGGCATGCGCCAAATGCCGCAAATATGATGTAAGTCTTGGAATCGAACCACCTACGTAGGTTGTGGGAAAGACTGTATAGCTTGTATTAGAATCATACTGATTTATCGGATAGATTGTGGTTTCGTCGTTCGCTGACAGAAGTAAATGCGTTGAATTGATAGCAACAACCACTCTATGCCAGTCGCTATTATTCAAACCAGAACCAATGAAGACGCCTTCCCATTTGTTGAGCAGTGGTGAATGTAGATTTAACCGGCCGTTTACTAGCTCAAGAATGAAACGATTAAGGCTTTCGACTGCACCACCACCGCTGCCAAACACCAATATGCCATTTGGAAGTGTAGTTCTAAATCGAAGGCTGATATCATATCCCTCCACACGGTTGGTGTTCACAGTAACTAAACTTTGCTTGTTAAGTGACAATGTTGTATCTTTCTCACAGCGAGAGCCAGTGAATCCATCGATGCTGATATTTGTTGGATATAAAGAATATGTTAATAATAGTGTATAATGTATATGTGTAAAAACGGGAATGAAAGGTAAAAATTAATTAAACAAACCAGCTACAATTGAATCGGTGTTGTGTTTCATTCTCTAGTGATGGTGTGCAAATACCCTCATTTAAGCATGGCGAATTTTGGCACCTGGACGCAAATTATTAATATGAATTATATCGGTTAGATAGAAATGCAGTAAGTTTTTTGAGCAATCAAGAAAAAAACAGTAGAAAAATGAAATTCAATACCCTATCAACATAACAGAGCAATTTCTTCCTCCCCAATCCGGGTCGCATTTGCAATCATAATAACCTTAAGATGATTTATAAATATAATCATTACACACTGTAATTTTTTTATGTTGGTGTATATCGACCATTCCATACGAAATCAAGGAAAATCTGTATTTGATGTCGCAGATCGACCCGGGACTGGGTCCATTGTTGGGGGACCCATCACATTTCCTAACAAAGCCGGAATATTTTTGCTTATATTGGGTGTCCTTAGGGAGATATAGAGACTCAAAGTTGAGCAGATCGTGAAAAAATCGATTTTTTGGACAGCTGTATCTCTGCTTGGCGTTAGAATTTCGATATGATTTTTTTAGAGTTTGTACAGCTTGACGAGCTCTATCGATTGGGAGTATTAGCCACCTGATCTGGGTGGGTCCACCATACCAGAAATCGGTTCCAAAGTTTGGATCAGTGCTAGCCACCCGCCGCCAGGGTCTTTTATCAATTTTTTTTCGTTTTTTTACCGGATTTCAAGAGCCCTACACGATGGTATAGTCGGCCAAAATAGGCCGGTACCAAAATTTGCATGTTTTTGTTGACACAAATGAGAGATCGGACAGAATTTTCACGTTTTTGCCCGAAAAAGTCGATTTTTCGACCAGATACGATACCCAGACCAGCATAAAAATTAATTTTACGTCGAAATAATGGGGACACCTCCACACCAGAACACATGGTTTAGTTCATTTTCCATGTGAAAATATCATTTGAAAGTGAACAGTGCCGAAATGTCTTCGAATGATCGAATTGTGCATACAAAATCGCTTGTATGACACACTAAACTCACTTCCAACGACTTATGGCTGGTTCATATCCACCTAATTTTCGACGAGCAATCGATTTAGAGCACCACTGATGCAATCCGATCAACCCAGGGTAGGTGGTCGGTCATATCTTCCCCGGTCATAATTTCCCAGTGCAAAAATGACGTAAATGCGTGCTGGAAGATTTCTATTACAGTTGAATTGCAAAGGAAAGTGGTGGGAAGGAATTTTTAAATAAAAACGCAATTGCATGCTGTAATATTTCTATTACAGCTGTTTGAAGCTACTTGTGTTGTTGGAAAGTGGTGGGAGGGAATTAAAAAAAAACGCAATTGCATGCTGCAATATTTTTATTACAGCTGCTTTGGGAAAATAAGAAATTTAAATTTTGGCCATAAGATCCCCGGGAATTGTGTCCGAATCAATCGAGAATTTATTACCGTTTGATTTGGTCATAAGATCCCCGAGAAATTGTGACCGAATCAATCGAGAATTTATAACCATTTAATTCGGTCATAAGATCCCCGGGAACTTCTGACCAAAAATGCTGGGAAATTATGACCGGGGAAGATATGACCGGCAGCCCTAGGGTATCGAAAAATGTCTTTGTTTCGACCAATGTTTTCAACTCGCAATATTTCATAGTGAAAATTTCAATTTTTTACCAAAATATGCATTTTTTTATGTTTCTATCATAAAAATAATGAGGTTTACGAACAAAAGAA